CTATACTATGTTGAGTGAGTGTAGCTTTGTAGCCTCAAGATGAGGTGACAGCTTCATCAAATGTCCTAAAACGCGGGGGAGGGGCAGGCTAATTTAGTCAGCATCCGCAAGTCCGAATGACGAAATACTATCTTTGCATCTGATAAGTAAGTTGATAGATAGCATTATTGAATCTTGCCCCAATCGAGAATCCTCCTACTATTAAACAGATAACACGGATAGATTCTATCCTCACCGCCAATGATGCTTCAAAGAGTAACGGGTATAAGTTAATCCCCACTCGATAGTCTTGATATTAACTCCTTCGTATATATCTGGAGGCTACGAACTCTATACAAGCTGTCGGCCACTTGATTGACTTTCTCCATAGTTTGATCTTCCCTCAACAGAACGGCAAGTGGCCATTAAGTCTGTTGAAATTTACCGCGCGGCTGTTGGCTTTCGGGGAGTTGAACGTTTGACGCCACACAAAAGTATAGTAGCTATAAGCGATGTTTTTTTATACGAGAGCGCACCCAATCAATTCCCCATAAACGAAATAATTATGCTTAAATAAGACTGTTTGGGTTGTGAAGGACTATCAAGGTAAGTAGTGGTACACGGGACCCAGTTTGTCAACGCCAGAAGGCGTCCCACTTTAATCCGCTTAACCTCAACCTTCCCTCAACCTTCAACTCAACGATCACAGGAAACTCAAACCTCATAGGAAGGAAGACTCTAGAGTACAAAAGCACCATATCCATTCCAGATTGGGCAACCGCATGCCTGTATCGAAATATTGTTCTTATAGTCTCCAATCTCACCAAGACATGTCATATCCTCAAGAGCCCCAAGAGCCTCAAATATGCTCAAATGCTCAACATCTCCGCATGGAGTCTTCCTCAAGGTTCGGCCTCAACATAAGATGCAATCGATTTTTTTATTCAAAAAATCGTCTTATCAACCTCTTTCCCGTATCGAAGATGTCCTCGGCCAAATCAACCCAATACGCGAACGCCATAAACATCGTTTCAACAACAAACACGCATCCAAGGCCAAGAATTGGCGGGAAAAGATCTGGGGTTCAAAATGATAGGGCGATAAATTTTCTACATGGCCCGATTACTGAGGGGAGGTTGACGCCATGGCTCTCAACTGACAACACACTCGGACAAGGCGTCCCGTTCGCAGGATCAAGTGGTCATGTTTCTATATAATCTCATTTCCCCTGAGAGATCCTTGCTTCTATATCAATCTCTTCTGAAGCTCTACAACACGGCACAGCTCTTTCGAAGCAATGCGTTTCAACACTCTGGTGGGCCTCGGCCTTCTGGCAGCCGAGTCTGCCCTTGCAGTCCCCTGCCCACCGGGTAAGTAGCAAAAGAGCCATGAAAGATACAGAGCATCTACTTACAGAACACCTTAGCAAGCGTCTCAACCGCAACCATAGATGTGACTACCACCGCGACGCAGAATATCACTGCTGCGGCGACGGACACTGTTACAATGACAGAGTCCGTGTTTGAGACCAATACCGTTAACTCAACGGCTGTGGTGACCTCCACAGAGGTGGATCTTGTTGCTACGACCAGTACCGCAACTGTCAACGCCACAGAGACTGAGTTTACTACTGTCAACTCAACGGTCGTGATCACGTCTACAGAGACTGATGTGGATGTTGCCACCACAACTGCAACTGTTAACTCCACTGCTGTCTTTACCATTACAGAGACAGAGGAGGTCACCAGCACCGAGACTGACACTGTTAATAACACATCTGTGTTCACGACTACTGAGGTTGATGTCGAGACCAGCACCGAGACTGCTACAGTTAACTCTACGGTGCTATTCACCTCCACGGAGACCGACTTCACCACCGAAGCGACTACTGCTACAACTGTTGTCTTTGCCACAAACTCTACTACTGTCACTCAAACTTCTTTTGTCAATGCTACAGAGACAGCCTTTGAGACTGATACGGTTCTCACAACTGCTACGGTGAACACCACCTCAACTGTCAATGTCACTGCTACAACAGTCGAGACCAACACAGCTTTCGTTACTTCAACTGTTGATACCACGGCAACTGTAAATACTACAGCCACGGATTTCGTCACTGCCACTGTCAACACTACAGCCACTTCTTTCGAGACTGATACAGCTTTTACGACTGCAACAGTCAACACGACTGCAACAGACTTTGTCACCTCGACTGTTAACACTACAGCCACTGCCTTCGAGACTGATACAGCTTTCACGACTGCTACAGTAAATACTACTACAACAGACTTTGTTAGTTCAACTGTCAACACTACAGCCACTGCCTTCGAAACCGATACGGCTTTCACTACTGCAACAGTCAACACCACTGCGACTGACACAGTGACTTCAACGGTCAACACTACAGCCACCGTCTTCCAGACTGACACAGTGACTTCGACTGTTAATACTACAGCCACTGCCTTCGAGACCGATACAGTGACCTCAACTGTCAACAGTACTGCCACAGTCAACACGACGGCCACGGCTTTCCAGACCGACACTGTTTCCACCACTGCAACTGTCAATGCTACTGACACAAGCACGGCCACTGTGACAACAACACAAACTGTCTTTGTAACAGCTACCGAAACTCCCACTGATGTGACATCTACAGAAACCAGCACTGAGACTCAGACTATCGATGCGACTTCTGTAGTGACTGACACTGTTGACTCAACTTCTACAGTAGTTGTTACTGCCACTGTGACATCCACTGTTGATCCCGCGTCCACAAGCGCCAGCGTGACTCCTTCGTCTTCTCCCGCCGCTTCACCAGCCCCTGCTTCTTCGGACCCAGCCAGTGCTTCTGGAGCCGCAACTACTACAACCGTAGTAGTAGCTACAACGGATACTACGAGTGCCGCTAGCTCACCTGTTGCTTCAGCGGCTACTTCTTCTCCCGCAGCGGCCTCCTCCGACACTACATCCGCAGCTACTGGAACTGTCACAACTACCGTTACTACAAGTGCTACAACAGCCCCTGTTGCCGAAGACTCAACTTCATCAGCAGATCCCTCGTCTGATGCCATCAGTTCTGCAGAGCCTTCTGCTGACCCTACTGATTCTGCAGAGCCTACTGCAGATTCTACTGATTCTGCGACTGAAACAGCTACCACTTCATCGGCTGTCGATGGCGCCCCTGTCGATGACACTCCTACAACTTCATCAGCTAGCCCCGCGGGTACTACGACTGCAACTACTACTGTTGACCCCGCTACCTCCACCGGCGCCTAGATTACTTGATTAGGCCCAAACCTGACGGCATATGAGACTGTCCATTTCTGATTCATGATTGGTCTTTATAAAATGTAACTGTGAAGTAGGGGTGGCCGAATAATGCTTTCTTATTCTTTGAAAGTCCGGCATCATGATGAAGGGGTCTCCAAGGACTTAAGTGTGACTGGCATGAGACAAGCACATCGTGGGGTCATACTCCGAGTTAGATTGATCTTGTGTTACGAATAGTTCAAAGCCTTTCCTTAAGAATTGGACCTTCCATAGTTACTTTTGATTTTGTCAGGCAATCTACATGCGTTTGGCTCCCAGCTGGGTTGAGTACATTGTTCTTCAGCATAATCAATACCATACCAAGTGCACCGAGACATGTTACCAGGAAACAAGCGTATGATCGTCGATCTGACATATGAAACATCTGCAGTGATAAGCAGATCATTTTATCAAAGTGTCATTCATCCAGGATATGGGGTTATCCTCTCACAAAGCAGATTGTGTAACTCGAGACCTTAGGCAGATAGAAAATAGAGTCCCCATCGACTACCCGCCGATTGCAGGAGAAGAGCGAGTTTCTCGAGATCGCCGCTAAGCTATGAGACACTATAAAGGCAAGTGATGGCGAGGGGACAGACAGGGTTTATGGTTATGCGGCGTTATGCTGCGTGGACCCTGAATTGGAGGAGAGAGATATGTTGTGTCATATAATCTCCGATAAAGGAGTACAAAGGCAGGCTCTTGAACAAAGAATGCCGTTTGCCTCCAGGTCAAGGATAGAGAGCACAGAAGTTGCCTATTCAGGGGTAAACGCCAACAAAAACAAACGGGACAATAGACTGGCGGAGTTCTTGATGTTTCGGTTGAAATACAATTCGATATACGATATCCGTATCATATCGGAGCTGCAACATATGCCGATATAATGCCGTCTGTATGTCTCAGTGCGTAGCTTAAAGAACGCCTCATTGTTACCTCCCCGAACGGGGCTTTGACAGTTTTGGGAGACCGGGGAGAAGAGTTACGATCATTGCCAGGATGAGTCTTCCAGACATACGGAAAGATACACAGGTTGCAGAGATCACCGCTTTGCAGTCTGTTGTGCTCATGGACTGTCATGACTGGGATAGCTTCCGCTGCCATGGTAGATATATTTGCAGCAAAGTTCGCATGCCACTCAACTCTGTGGTTCATTCTGCATATTATTAGCTTGTAGCAGTCAAATTAATCTGCATGTTTATCTCACTTACTGAGAACAGCTCAAGGTGCTCTAGAGATGAAATCGGGGGATCTTCTATGTCCAGTTATTGTTGACCTATCAACACAACAACTTCCTTGGTGATACTACATGAACACACTCCACAACATCCATATAACGAGAGAGACATGTATCACTTAGTATCTACCTGCCAACTCTTGCAGTTGTGTCGTGACATCACAACGTAGTATCCCGTCAATGATATGCACGTCAGTCTCCCTGCCACTCAATATCCTCGTGGGGGCACATCTCGTCAACACGGAAGGTCTGGTCTCCTCGTTTACCGCTTAGGATTACTGATATGATGGCCAGCAATGCTTGAAAGACGGGAGGGCTCTGGGTTGAGTTGTACAGAGAATCGGGATCGGCGAGGACAAGTTTGCCGTGTCGCGCGCAATCTTGTGTGACATTGTTTGGGGAGATAGACATGGGGTTCACGAAGCAACTGTTGACAGCAAACATTGCATTATCTATGCAGAGATGAGTTCGAGACTTATGAAATAGATGGTGAGTGGTAGTCGTCCGATTCGTTGAAAGAGATGGTGGGTTGTAATCTGTCATCGATAGCATATAGCTCGATGCTCACTGTTGGTATTGTCAGACTAACCTTGAGGTTTTGGGGCCGATATTTGTTTATATCCGCGATTAGTTCACGGACATAAGGTTGATTTAGGGCCGATCTATGCTTGTTGGTTTCTCTCCAGGTGACTAGATCCGTATTGGTTCCAAGGTTGCTGCCAACGATGGCAACTATGTTTGGCATCAATCTCATTCGGGCAATAGAAAGCAAACAATACCAATAAGAGCCGTTAGGTAACATTGAGAATTTGAAAGTATAAAACATCAGTAACAAGTATATATCCACTGATTGCTTCGTAGATGACTGACCACCAAAATTATTGCTGAATGTTGGGCTTCATGCTTCTCTCAATGTAGAGCATGTCACTCATCATACTTTCCGTTCTTGACTAATCTGACATAAAAAAACAAAAGAACCCATCAAACAGGGTGTGGCTTTTCAGTCAGATTTTCCAAGATAAGAAATAATATGTGTGAGGATTGAGTGGCATGTAACTCTTTAGGGCAGAAGCGCAAAATGCTTATCACCGCCTAGATATTATTTGGCAATAAAACGTCTTCAAACTCAACTGGGATACACGCCACATCAGCTGATATGCGTCAAACAACCTTCGGACTTGGAAGAAAGCGCGAGAGCGCGATACCGACGCCCAAAGTCCGTCTGATAAACATGCTCAAACCTAGCCAACGATCATCGTGAAAGGAGCTGAATGTGGCGTCCACAATGATCATCCTTGCAGATTATCATTCTCCAAAGGAAAACCTCTGACGGGTTGAGAAACAACTCCGTTTCAGAAGTTGTGTTTCTTTTCGATACCCAGAGTCGTTGCCTGTCTAGCCGAGTAACTGTGGAATGAGCAAGGCCTCATGTCAGCAATGACATCGACGCCGTTAGCGCTGATTGATCAGTTCATAGGGCTGAGCGAGTAAGCCGTGATCTGGCCTCGCGGCTTAGACCCTGTTCCTCCCGCTTTCGTATCAGTCGTCGCGGTTCATAGAAGTAAGCATATCTCCGACTGGTCACAGCCCCAGGTTGTGCCCGACTTGTTCTTATTCCAACCTGATTAGTTTCCCGTCGGCGTGTTTATACCACTCGGAAACACTTCCAAGGCTGGAAGAGAAAACCCGCATGTTGCGTCAGACCGGCCCGTTCCCGCGTAAGCCTCATCCGTTGTAGCGCGGAGGGTATTTCCTCCGTCAATGTAATGTAGGCAATCCGTGCCAATGTATCAGGAAGGCCGTGTAAGCCGGCGGCCGGCATTTCGGCATGACTGGATGTTTAATCCCCACTTATGCTGATTTTTGAGAACGGAGCCTATGGGTTGTGGGAGTAAGACTGATGAAACTTTGTTCATCTTCTCCTAGCCCGTATGTTTCTTTGGATGTTGTCGTGATTTTGTAAACTGTCAGTCACCACACCCTCAATTCCACCAGCTCCCCCTAACGCGGGATCGTTCCTTGGCTTCCTGGTGGCGGCTCTCAGTACCTGAATCCAATGTGTGTAGGCGTGCCCGATAGACTTCGGCCTTATTTCCACGTGGTAGATGCTCCCATTGCGGCAACATTAAAGATATCGGTGATTATCCTCATCAGTCCATTCAGTGAGCAGCATCCCGTGTATGCAAAATGAGGACTCATATCATCGACATCGAACAGGCAGTTTTGGCATGTATGAAATAGTTCCAATCTGAAGCTTATTTGTTCAACCGGTGCTGACTTGATTATGGCGAGATCATTCGAACCGGCTGGCCATAACCATAATTTCAGGATCCATTTTGCCGTTAAGAAGTTTCGATAAGTTCAATTATCCTCGTTGGTGATATTAAAAAAACAGCCTCCTGGTCATTTTCGATGCGAGTTGTAATGGCTGTCGATCAGCATGCAAGGATCCCGCCAGCAGATCCCTGTGTGGCACTCCAACACTTCCATGAGGAGGGAAATGGGGGGGTTTTGTGGTTATCTGCCAAATTTTGCCTTTTGTCTCTTTTATCTCTGTCTCGTTTCTTCGTAGGACAGTCATGGATACGATGCTCACCCAATACGTCTCCTCGTGAAGCTCCCTAGGTTGAATCTGGCACAGGACGTTGAAAAAAACTGCCTTTGAACGATGTCTTGGTCGTTCGGTTGCACAGAAATCCAGTCTTTGACTGTATTCTTTCTTTGAAACATTCTTGAATATCGATACTTTGCTTGTGACAACAAACTGCGGCCATTGTCAGACCCTTGGTTTCACCATCTGAAGTCTTCGGTGAGCAGGCTTTGGTCTCTTTGTGCTCATGCTTATCGTTTTTTTACTGAAGCATGTTCAGTGTTACATCATTCCAACATTCCGCCCCGGTGCGCGCCTCTGTCATACTAAGCTGCCTGCAGTTCCGACTGGTTCGACCTGAAAAATGCTTCAGAAGGACAAACAGCAGCTCAGCCTTGCCGCGTCGCAACGTTCTACCCAATTAATGCTCGTATCGTTCTCACCCAGTTGCAGAATTAGGGCCGTGGTCAAGAATCAGATTAAGCTTTTGAGCAGTTCAAGACAGACCCTCGACAATGTGGCACAGGACACAGGGAAGACGTTGAGCTACTATGTCGATACCCAGTGTTCAATGGCCCAGATCATTCGGTTCTCGAAACCCGAAATCGGTATAAGTATGAATTGATTGATTGCGTATTCTATTGCTCTTAGGCGATCTCCTCGGCCATTTCTCTGACTGAGAAATGGAGGCGTGTACAGAGTAAACCAGGCATTATGAATGCAGGATGTCTGTCAAAGGATGCATAGTGCCATATTTGGCCCTGTAGCATGTGCGTGAAACATCTGCCGGCAGTGCAATCTTCAGCTTTTCTAGCCCGCCGCGGCAAGGATGAGCACCGCAAATCATCATAGGCTGTCGTTTACTTCGTGTATGCAAAAACGGAGGATCCTTGTAAAATCGATAATCGTCAAGTCTCCAATGAGTTGTTCAAGCCTTGTTGATGGAAACTGAAGAAGGACAAAAGTGCCAAGATCATCAAGCCCGAGTTTGATGTGACGCAAAAGCTTAAGTAATTCTGGGGGCCTGTGTAAGTCGTGCCTCCCTTAAGGTTGGTATCTGAAAGGAAGGTGCTTGGTCCGCTAATTCCATACCTACGTCGGGTTACAATTAATGTTGGAAGGAGTACCTTAGCTTTGGTCAGGTACTACGTACCTCAATGGAAAATACGGCTAAGTACCTTAGGTACTAGGTAGGTAGGAAGTACACACCTTCCTTTCATCCGGGTAAAGCTGACTGCTGAACTTGGCTCGTACATTTCAACCTCCATCAAAGTGTTTACAAGTGAAGAGTTCTTCTTTGTAATCCTTTGTTTTCTTACCAACACGAGACCTCTAATACCCCCCTTGTTAAGACTCTAGCGCCAATTTTCTGCAAGACATTTCTGTGTTGCCATCAGAGCGGCGCCCCCGAGTCCGGCGCCCATACGCAAGATGTAGCGATACCAATAGCTAGGCAAGGACGTACGGGGTCACCTACGATATGACGAAGTGTGTAACCTCGAATCCATCGACTAAGCTACCATGGATGTACACGGATTTGTATGCTTGTACTGATGGAGCTGACGGTATCGCGGCCTTGATCATCATTATGCCAGCGAGCAAGCCACTGTCTTGCCGTGGGGGAGACAAGGCCTCCACATCTTCCTCGAGGTAAACCATTCCTTTGAACGTTTCGCTGACCTGTTTCTTAAAGATAATTTCTCACGTAATGATATCGGTTGTCGTACCGCGATTCTTGTCCTCCTAACGAGCCTGCTCCCCCTCTTTCAGACCTGTCAAATGACTGTATGCATCCAGTGCTTGGCCACTCATCTATATCCTTGTATCTTTCATTGAAAACTGATCGAATCCCGGAGCTTTTGTCTCTTTTTCATCTGCAACCAAGAACAAAATGTGGAATAACCAGGGCAAAGAGGTTTGTTTAAAAGCATCAATGAACTTGCTAGCATTGGCTGACGAGAAAGGAAACAGCCGCAAATGTGGTCTACACACGACTTGGCTTGTGCGCACTGCCGAGCACGAAAAATTAGATGTGGAAGGGAACGGCCGCAATGTGAAAGTTGCAAGCGAGACGGTGTTGAGTGTCGATACTCGTCTCCCGGCAAGCGCGTCAATCATGTCAAACTCTTGTGAGTCTGGAAGCGCCATTTGTTTCCCCCATGACTGGTGCACAAAGGCTTACAAACCTTTTGTGTTTCAGGTGTCAAAACTTCGAGACGCTCGAAGGCCAACTGCACAGCATCCAGAATGATCTCTCTGACTTGACATCACTCGTCAAAGGTGGGAGTAGTGTAAGATCTTTATCCCTTCCTGCTGAGGAATGGATCCTCGAGAACCATTCTGGGACGGATCCAACGTCAACCCCCCACACAAACCGGCATATTGTCAGAAATACATCACAATCACTTGATCGTTATCATGGACCATGCTCTCTTTATGCCCTTTGCAGGGAATTTAGCGACCATCCATTATTTTGTGCCTCGGAGAACAATAACTCTGGGGGAAATACTGTTTCTGAGCATATGATTTTGCAAGAGATGCTCAACGAGGCAAGTAACGAGCCTCACTTAGACATGCTGTCTCATCCTGTCGGTATATGTCTCCCACCTCGACAGTTCCTCAGCTTTGTCATCGGTCCTTTCTTCAAGAATGTCGATTATGCAACTGATGTCTTTGTGCGATCTAATTTCCAACCCCACGTCGACCGAATCTATTCACAACCTATTGGGCCTGCAGATGAAGGTTGGGCTGTCTGTTTCAATGTGATTATTCTTCTCGGCATCAAGAAAGAACCCACGATTCAGGGCAACAGCCACTTTGTCCAAACACTCCTGCAGACATTGAAAATGGCTGTCAATAACCCTCGAGTATTCTTAACACCAAGGCTCGTTAATGTCCAAGCACTTGCTCTTTTGGTAAGATCCACCTCGGCTCTTATTGTGAAAATGAACTGACTATTGCGGCAGAGTTACGTGGCCGAGCAGTACAGCACGACTTCGCTTGCAGAACTCGTCTTCGCCCAAGCCTGTCTGCTGGCTCGCACCATGGGCCTTCATCAAAGCAATGCATCTTCCGATGGCCTTCCACCCGAAGACATATTGGAACGACACAAAGTTTTTAGATCATTATATATCAGAGACAAAAATATTGCAATATTCCGTGGGTCTACAGCCTGGCTACCAGGCTATGATTCCGGCATACCCCCTTCCTTT